TGGACCAAACGAAAAAGAAAGATGGAAAATTGCGGGTTCTCTGGGAATGTGCAAAATAGTTCTTGAAATCTTTCGGCTTGTGTACTTTTGCTAACGGCGAATCTTCCAGGAGCTGTCTGATTACAAATGACCGATGGGTTGCCGGAAAGGCTAATTTCTGCCTGTATGCTATTCGCGTCCTGTCTCAGCTTCTTTTGCTCCCTACTTCTTAGCCTGGCTTCTTCGTTTTGCATCGACCTTTTTATGTTGGCAGTTTATTTTATTACGGCGATACAGGAGCTGAATGAAATACACCAAGTTTTGTGCATTCAGGGAGTGAGGTCTTGTAATCGATTTGATTACAGAAGCTGATGCAACGAAGAGATAAAATGGAAAAAGAAAAAATCGACTCCAAGAACGCTGTTGAGGAATATGTGTATTATATACGCGACAAATTATCCGATACATGCGCCGAATTTATCACCAAGGAGGTAAGAGTCTTTGGCCGCTTGCATCGTGAATTGTTAATTTTTGGAGCAATTTTGCATATATATAATGCGCAGCCAGTTAGCTTTCTGTAAAGTTTTTTTTTAAATCAGATTTAGCACAAAATAAATTTAGACATTTATTTGTAAAAAAGTGCAAGAAGGAATGAGGAAACTAGTAGGGTATGAGGACAAATTGTAAGTAAAACATATGGAAATGCTTAAAGTCCAGGTTCTTGTGCGTTTTAGCCGTGTAACAGCAGCACAAAACGCATTTCTTTACGGTCATGCCTGTGTGTGTTTGTGCGTGTACGTATGTGTATGTATGTGTGTGTGTGTGTGTGAGCGCGTGTGTGTATGAGCGCGTTTTGTCGTACAGTTTTAGCTTAGGAACCACAAAGACTAAGAAGCTAAAATTTTAGGGGATGTCCCCTACTCACACGTTACCGCGCAAGTTTAAACTCAGCCTTCACCTTTGCGCCTAGGCACCACGTAAGGCCCCCTGGAAAATTATTATCTCGGGAAATGCAAGCCCAGGAAACTAAAATTTTAGAGGAATGTTCTTCGCGCAAGTGTGTTTCCCACAAATTCAAAGTTAGCCCTCACATTCAGCCCATGGAATTTACGGTGACGACCCCGGTAATATCGGTAGTGTCCTGAATTCTAATTTGCTTGCATCTGAAAATCTTTCTATACATTGGTGATATAATTTTTTCCCGTTCCTATTTTTTTTGCCAGTAATTATAGCATTGATTTTTGCAATAAAGCAACTGGCGGAAGCAAATACCTCTGCAGTTAAGGACATTGGCTGCGGATTATTTATTACAGGATGCCGACAAATTTCAAGCGTTGCTTTCGAAAACTGAGGAGTGGCTCTACGATGACGGCGAGGATGTCGAA